ATTTAGATGAAATTTGGTAAGAAGATAGTTTGCGACCCTGGGATATTACATAGGACACTTTTTATCCAGGAAATAATCCCTTAAGGGGGTGAAAATGGGGATGAAAGTATGTATGGGGAATCAAGCCAGGTACGAACCCGAGCAAAGCGAGGGTGATTCGCTAGTATTTTATACCTATATTTTGAAATAAGCTTTACCAACGTAACGATAACTTTTCAGAAATTGTAGTCAAATCAATATTTTCTTCATGCAATTTTACGCTCATTTTAATGTTAAATTCTGAATACGTGTTTAAATTAAAAAAAAAATACACATTTAAATATTTTTGTCTTATAAATGAGATATAATGGAGTAATTTTTAAACTGTACTTTAGTTTACGAACTGTAGTTTATTATACACATTATTTTTATATCATGTAAATATTTATACAATGCTACCAATATAAAAATCTTTTTTATATGCAATTTTACTTTAGGTCGTATTTGAACAGCAAAATTTAGACCTTTTGATTTTAAATTGAAAATTTTAGCTTTAAGATTTACAATGTTTGTACTTTTTATATTATGACCAAATACAGCGTTATAGTCATTCATGTAAATAATATACCTAAAACCTGCGTAAACTATAAAATTCTTTTTTTATTTAGTCAGACATACTATACACAAAACCTAGATACCTACCTGTATAGATTTAAATGTTGGCTAATTTTGTTAAAAAAAAGAGTTTTTTTAATCTGCACTTTAAAACAAAGGGCAGATTACTACTGTGACAATATTATCAATAGGCTTAAGTAACACTATGGTGTTGTTAAAATTTGAGCTTTTATTTTTAAACAATGTAAATTTTTGAGAGATTGAAATCTGCTTTTTATATGTAAATACCTACTTAGTTTCGATACTAAGAAGTATCATATCGTAGATAAATGGAATTTTAAAGAGAAATATACCTCTTTTGTTTAATAATTCTTATTAATCTGTGTATTTTTTGTTAGCTACACAGTTATAGATAGAAACAGAGTTAGGTGTACATACTTTTTAGAGGTAGCTAGCATATCTATACAGATAAATAAAATTGAAGTGTCTGTTTGTAATGTCAAAATAACAGTTTTTTACTAATTACATATGAAAATAAGGTAGGGTAAGGTTGCTTAAGTCGTAACCCCTAAGGAAATAATACTGTTATATTCAGCGCAATTGATATAAAACAAAATCTTCTGCATGTATTGAATATTTATTTAGTTGCCTTTTAATCAACAATAATAAAAACTGAAAAATCTTTTATCAAAATAGATATTTTAACGTTTTTCAAAAACATACCTTCGGTACGATTAAGGCACCTAGTTGCCTAATTCGTACCACCTATAGCCTAAGTCGTACTTAGAAAATATACTTTAATTAACACATAATAAACTATACAGAAATATACTTAATAACCAGAGATCACAATTAACAGCTACATAATTACAAAAAAATCAGTCTGAGACAACTTAAAACATTTTTTTTTGGTTATTAATTAGAAAGTTAAATTTGTGTAAATGTCAAAGTATAAATGTTAAAATTTATATAAATTTGGTATGGGTGCTATCTAGTAAAAGTATTATTTGTTTTTGATCACTTTTTTCTAATTTTGTGCATTTAATAAAATGTTGAAGCCATTGAACGAAAAGTTCTGATATTATCCATCCATTTTTCGAGCAACCAAACGCTGTCTTTGAAGGAGCTTCTTTTTTTAAGGCATCATTCAGTTTGCTACGCTTAAATATCAACATGGGTGGTATAAATTCGCCTGCTGCATTCATCACACGTATGCCTGTTGTGGTCAGTCCCCTTTCTCCACTTGGAATTGCACCTACTTGGTGTTTTCCCTTTTGAGCAATAACTTTGGTTGTGAACGGTGAAACGATGGTTTGTGAACGGTGGATAGTGCAGTTTCGTCCACATTGTATATTTGGTGTGTAGCAAACTTGTATTTATCCAGTATTTCTTAGTACTTATCAAAAACTCATTAACACGCTCTTTTTAAACCCTTTAGTTCTGGCTATTGAGGTTCTGGAACACGCAACGACAAAGTAGGATGTTCTTTTATAAACCTGTAATACCACTTTTTGCCTGTAATTTTCTTCTCCATTTTAAAACGATAAGGTAGTTCAAATTTTTCAGCGGGTTCGAAGGGAAGTTTCCTAAATTCAGTGGCCGATAGATGATAATCCGAAGAGACACGACTCTAAATTCATCAAATGCTGTGCTCTCTACCATGTCTGGTGACATATCATTAGGTCTTTCAAATTTTGTTCTTTTATTCAAACCTTTCAAATATCGTCACAGAGTAGGCTTCGGTATATTAAATCTTCTACAAACTTCATTAAATCCAATTTCTCCATCCTGATGTTTCTCTAAGGCTTCGTCCGTATCCTCTTGCTTCCAAGTATCGTAGCTTCTCTTCGCCATATTTAAGTATAACCTGATAAAAAATTATATTAACTTTATATTAAACAAATTTCTTAAGTCGTACCAGTACGAGTAGAAATTTTGTACAGGTACGACTTAGGAATTTTGTACAGGTACGACTTAAGCGGCGGTGTTTTCTAAATTTAAAAATAAAAGTAATGACATAACCTAAGAAAGTTCTAATGTTTGAGTATTCGAAAAGATTACCAGATAAGTATCACAAACACATGTTAACAAAGAAAAAAGTTAAGGATCTCATTCCTGCCATAAAAAGCTTACAAATGAGTCAATAATGTTAATGAAACCTGTGCAAAAACTTACTTTTTCAATATTTTTACTTCACGAAGCCGGCCGGTCGTCCACTTGTTTCTGTTTGGTCGCTCGACCAAGAAGTTCAGATTAGCAACACTATATGGCGCAATTTATAATTACGAGACAAGATATTACCGGGGTACGACTTAGGCCGTGGTACGACTTGAGCAACCTTACCCTACCTACTAATAAGAAAAAAAAATTCTGGTTTGTCTGTCTGTGTGTGTGTGTGTGAGTGTGTGTGTGTGTGTGGTGTGTGAGTGTTTTTTTATTCTTGCACGCAAAAACAGCTGAAAGGACTCCGATGGCATTCAGTCCAAATATTTATAGACTATGATCCGGGGTACCTAGTAGGTACCTACCTAAAACGTAGGCTACAATCAGGCAAACAGGGACGCGCTCTGGTGAAGTGAGGGAAAATCGCGAGTCTCGTAATAGGTTATTAAAATCTATATTTTATACATGAATATTCTAGATTATTTAACTGCTTTAAGCATCATTAGCACAACAAAATTGTATACAGGAATCTTTGTGAAATTATAATGAACATTTAAATTTAACATACAGGCTTTTGTAAATTTAATTATCAGAGAGCCTAGGTCGTTATTATTTATGCGGCCATGTATATAAAAGGGAAGGGCATAGGCTGAGCGAACTGAGATAATTATTGAATCGAAAAAAAAATGTCTGTTGACGTTAATGTCTAATACAGACTTTTAAAATTTAATATAATATAATCAATACAAATAATAAAATTATATAAATAAGTCAAATCTGTACATTACATATTTTTTGAGAAATCTAATTGAAATAGATATTATTATTGATACAGAGTCCAATTCTATAGTTTTTAGAATTTTTGTCTGTCTGTCTTTCTGTCTGTCTGTCTGCCTGTCTGTTACCGCATCACGAGAAAACCACTGGACAGATTTTGATGAAATTTGGTATGATGATAGCTGGTTATCCGGGTCAACATATAGGCTACTTTTTACCGCGGGAAAATATCTCATTTCTGAGAAAAAATATAAAACACAAAAACTACATTGTAAGAGTATAGGTACTAATATTATGTAAAACCTAAGAATTAGGATTTTGGTCATCTGAACGCGGGCGGAGCCGCGGGCAATGCTAGTATTTTTATATGTTTTAAAAAGGCATCTTGTTACGGATCTTAGCACCTGCTCACACATATTGATTTAATGCATTATGATCTAATTAAGCTTTAAAAAGATTAACCCTATTACTGAATCGTTTTCTAAATTTTACTTCTAGCTAATTTTATGTTTTCTTGAAAAATATTACCTATCTATATTTATAAAAATCGACGTGTGTATGTATGTTCCCTATGGACTCTTCTAAAACGGCTGGATCGATTTTAATGAAATGCAATTTCATTCAGACAATTTTCAGATTAGCCCAGTGGGTGATCCTGTGACGTTTGGTAGCGATCGGAAGATTGAACGCGAGCGAAGCCGCGGGCTACTACAAGTGTGTAATAAATAGAAATAAATTGAATAAATAGACCTATGTACCTTAGCTATCACATGTAGTTATATTTTAAACACATAAAACGTTAATTAAAACGTATAACTTTAACCAAACAAATTTCATGTGACTGAAACAAGTTTAAAAGCTAAAGCTTTAACCACATAATATTATTTCAAATTTTATTATTAAATGTGTAGGTATATCATTGTTACTAAAATAAAGAATCGTATTTAAAAATATACTTATTTCAATCTACATCCCTTACTTTTCACAGAGGCTATAAAAGTTTATTTATATAATATAAGCTTTGTGCGTGTAAAGGCATTGGCACGTGCCGTGACACCTTTAAAACAAAGCAAATTCCAACGCTTACACTAATCACGCCTTTTCCTCCCACAATATAAAGTTGTAACCAAAAACTGTCGCCAAATAGATAAAAATAGATAATAAACATTTTTTTCTTTTTTACCTGAAAAACAGGGGTGGGGCAGAGACGTGAGGGGCGATGCCGCGCGGCAGTCGGGCCGCAGCCGCGAGCGCGCAAGTGTCGACCCAGCGCTACAATAGACAATTTAAAAAAAAAACACGAACTGTGTTTTAGTGCTTATTTTATTTACTTTTATTTTTAGCGGCCTATACTTACAACGAATTTTTTTACTATTCCAGTAAAGTAAGACTGCCAAGGACGTGTAATTAGGAAATTTGATGGCGATTAAAGTGTTTTTTTTTGTATCGTTATGATAAATAAATAGGAACGTCACATTCGTGGCGTGGTCGTGTATGTGATTAAAGATTTTTTTTGTCAAGTGCAGTTACAAGTGTTTGCTAGTTTGGATTACATAGTGCGAAGGTAAGTTTACAATTAATTATATTATTTATTTAACGCAGATCTTTTGTATATTATTCCAAGTGAATTCTACAGTGCGGCGAATGAAAGTTTACTCACTAATAGTCCTCGGAAAAAGCTTTGAAACTTTACAATATTTTAACACGCTATCTTAATATTATTTTCGTAAATACCCACTTCATCGAAACAAATATTAAAAATATAATAACATCGCTACTATTAAAATATTTTTATCAAATACCTAATACTATTTATTTGATAACCACAATATTCAATAGTGCCTTTAATTATCATTAATTAAAACTTCTTTAATATTTGAAAGCTTTCTAAACAAACTTATAATAAGGATTATTACGAGATAAGTATTTATAAAATTCATTATAATATAAATGGAAAATAAAACGAAATTAAAGTGTAAATAAATACTACATACCTATTTGTTTTTTTTTTGGCTGAATTTTCTAGCACGTTGCGTATTTCCGTCATTTTATCACAAAACAATACAATACTTATAATATTAATAAAAAAGCACTAATAGATCAATATATAACTAATAGGTATATAAAAAATAAATGCATCATAACATCATTAATTAAAGATTTAGAATGTCCATTGCCACCGTTTAGGCCTATCTTTCTATAGCACAAAGATTGGATATCGTTCATATCGAAAAATTAGATAAAAGTTATATTATAAAATTTATGGTTTTAAAATTAAGAAAAAAAAAGTTGTCTACCGGAAATTGAGTTGACATTATTTATTTCTTTTTAATGCGTGAAAAGGTTTTAGACGTGTTATTCTTGTTTAGTCGGAGCTTTTATGGTTAAGATATTATAACATATTATGTGACGTTTTTAATCGAGTATTATAACATTGGTTTGTTATTATTTATGTGTTTTTGAGAAATAATGAAGTTTTAATCTATAATGATATAAATTAAAAGAATATTTAGTATTTTAGTAATAGACTACGGGTCATCAACATGGGTGGTCTTTACCAGCGAAAACTTAGTTATTAAAGAAAATAAATTAATAATTAAAATGCTAATAATTTCACAAAATTATTTAATTAATGTTTATAAAAAATATTCTGTAATAAATTGTACAATAGTATACACATTCACTTTGTCTTGATGCCGTCGGTGTTTACGTTTTCCCAAAACTTTAAGTAAATAAAAATGAAACTATACCAAAATAAATTTATTACTTTATATTTATCTTCATTTAATGTCTTTTATATACTTATTCCTGAGTTAATAACATAATATAACAATTAAAAAATTTGTATATCTATTATCTATAAAACGTTTTAAAAAAAGAAAGAAAAAATGATACAGCTTTTAATTTTAAATTTAAATATTTTACACAACAGTGGATGATCAAAAAGTCTCTAAGACGTCTTGTTTTCTAATAAAAAGTTTTTTTTTAATTTTTATGTCGGTGGTAGGTAGGTAGTATTTACTTATTATGGTTTTTAACAAACTTGGAAGAAAAATTATAAAAACAAATATTACAATATAATAATAATATTATAATAATAATATTGAAAAGAAAATATAATATTATAATAATATTGAAAAAAAGATTGAGCTTTTCAGAAGCTAAATAATTATCGAAAATGAGTTATAACATAATATTTTAAAAACAACGAAAATATTAGTCCATTTCTAACTTTTTACGATTAATAAAACTTTATTGCATTCAAACAAAAGCTGGATGCAAATCTTGTAAAACTATACCCATATAAACTATAGATAGAGATCTTGATAACATTCTACCCCATTACAATGTTAACTCCCCCCGGGGCGTGGTTAGGGCACGCCTCTTTAATTTATGCTTTTTACCCCACTTTGCTCAAAGGTCTCGAGTAAGAATACCTCAAGTTTCGACCAGACATTTAAATTATTTTTTATTCTTCCGTTTTTTTTTCCGTAGTTTTTTTTGTAAAAAAAAAGTTAAAGGCTGTATGTAATGTGCTATTGTCTTAGTAAACTGTGCCATTGAAAGTAAAAAAATCTCTGTCTATTGTTTAGTGCCTACATATTAAGTGTTCCTTTATATTTTAATTTAGTTATAAGTAGGTACTAAAAAAGATACCTAAGTCCCTATATCTTTATTTACGTTTTCACCTCTTTATATATGTACCTAGGTTGTAGGTACTACGTTATTTTTTATAAGTACATACATACAATATAAAAGTTTAATACAAAAGTATAAGCTACTGGTATATTTGTTTTATATTTAATATAGGTAGGTATCTACCTACCATAGATAAGAATTATGATTTATTATTTGTTATCTTAGTAATTATAAGAACGTTTTTTACTTCCGTTACGATATGAATTTGATATAGAACGTAGGCACCTACTGTTTTTTTGAGAAACAATTCTTTAAATAATATTGTAGATAGGTAGGTACCTACGACATAACAGCTACCTATACCTAATACCGGTAGAAACTATCCATAGTATCTATAACGATAGGTACAAAGCAAAGATAATGCGCTTCCATCTACTTATATATTTTAATATCGGGGCACCCTCGCTTCGCTCGGGTTAGTAGTAGGTAGCTACCTAGTTTGAAACATAAACAAATCTATCCCACGGAAACCGTACATTTTTCGGGATAAAAAGTAGCCTATGTGTTATTCTGATGTATGAGCTATATTATTGTAAAGTTTCATTAAAATCGATTTAGTAGTTTTTGCGTGAAAGAGTAGCAAACATCACAAACTTATATTTATAATATTGGCAGGATTAGTAGGACAAGCGTTTTCCGCGGTCCCGTCTGCGTAGTCCTAGAGGCGAATCCGAGCGAAGCGATGGTGAGCCGCTAGTTTTTAAATAAAATAAACCTCCAGTAAGTATTAAAATGCGCAAACATTCCTAACAAACGTTTAAAAAGGTATCTGTCAAGTCAAGGGAGAACAACCCTCACGATACGGCCAATTAGTTCTAATTGGCCTTTGAATCTGGTACCAGATTAAGAGTTAAAGCGTCGTTGATCTGCTCGTTGCTTATCTCACTAGATATTGATATGTAGATACTAGTCATAGGTAGCAGGTTCAAATCTAGGCTTGTTCGGTATTTTGGATACTATATAAACAATTTAACAATCAATTAGTTTAATAATGACCTTTGAAATTTCTAAAACCTTAGTCTCTCTCGCGACCATGATTCCTATAAAGCATTCGAAACGTCGGGAATCAAAAATCAAAATAAATCCGCGAAAGAATCCGAGAAGATAGTGTTATTTAAAACTATATTAAATACCAAATTTCATCAAAATCCCTCCAGTGGTTTTTTTGTGATGCGGTAACAGACAGACAAATGGACGAAAATTCTAAAAACTATAAATTCGACCTCTGTATCGACAATAATGTTTATTTCAATAAGATTTTCCAAAAAATATTAATGTATAGATTCGACTTGGTTACAATTTTATTTTATGTAGGTATAGATGTCAAATACTCCTACTGAAAATATCTGTAAAAGAAAAACTCAGTTAATAAAGTTTACCCGACCCAGAACTCGAACCCAGTACCGTATGTGCGGCCGTACATGCTAGCCACTACACCACCAAGGTATACCACAAAAAACCTACAGCCTATTACAGATTTCCTTATAACTACCCTATCGTTTGTTCTTTCACAATAAAATTAATCTTACCGTTTAACTCAAAAACGCATATCAAATCTAATTGATTTTATCTAGCCTCATTACTTCGAGAACCCTCTTTGATCCACTTAATTAGTGATGGAGTTCAAAATCGATGCACATGTTTGTTTTTAATGAGCTATTTCGTTTGTATGGTCAATACTGTAAACAATAAAACTAACGAACGCTTATGATTTGGTTTTTTGCTACATTTAAAAGACAATAATTATATTAATACTTTCTTAGATTTACGCGAATATTTGACATCTATAAAAGAAAGTCGTGTTAGTTACACTATTTATAACTCCAGAACGGCTGAACCGATTTGGCTGAAAATTGGCGGGGAGGTAGCTTAGAGTTAACCCAGAGACGGACATAGGATATTTTATCCCGATCGACCGCGTTCCAATTTTTATGATATTTTAATTTTTGGATTTCTCTTAGTCCGGAATAGGTAAGTATTAAAACATCAGAATAATTAACGAAAAAAAATTAAAATTTATATGGCTTACGCTGGCTAATAACTTTTTATATCTATTTAAAACGTACCTAGCGACGAACCCGAGCGAAGCGAGGGTGAGCCGCTAGTTTTATATAACGCTTTACAGCAATCAAGGTCTCAGCAATATAAGTCTCTCTCGCGACCATGATTGCTGTAAAGTATACGAAACGTCAGGAACCGAAATAAAAATAAATCCGCGAAATAATCCGAAAAGATAGTTTTTTTTCGTTAATTTTAGCTACGGTTTCGCTATATGATGTACTTACCCTACTTCTTTTCATGAAAAGCCGCCACATTTGAATATGACAATAATCTCCTAACTTACATGTAGATATCTACGATGACGATAAATTAAAACAAATCTGTGTGTATGTACCTTCATAATTAAAAATATAATTTGTTTTTTTATATATTTTTTACGGAATAATTTCAAACTTTAGACTAATTAAAAAAATGACTCTCCGACGAGTAACTGAGTAACGAAACGATAGAGCCTTAAACTTTTAAAATCATAAAAACTTTAAAAAAAATCGACTTCCAGGCACTAAAATGTAAAAAATTACTACACGGGGATTTTAATTTATAATAGATACCTAATCAGATATTGTCGAAGTCAGTGCCAGCCGATGCAAAGCAAATCTAACATATTTCGATAAGTAATTAAATACATTTATTTATCTATTATTATTATATATCTATTAGATATTCATATCTTAAAATATTGTCGGCTGGCGCCGACTACGAAGATATCTAAATAAGTATAGATATTCTAAATGAAAACCCCCTTTAGTTATTTTTTACATTTTAGTGCCTGGAAGTCGGTTTTTATTTTTTGCTAAAAAGTTT